GTTTCCTTCTTTATATTTTCTCCTGTGCTGGATTCTCTCCTTTTCACGCTCGTACTCGTTTGAAAATGGAGGATATTCTTACTCGTGTACTCTGCTTGACAGACCCACGCTTTGTGTGTTCAATTACTATTACATCACAGATGTTTAATAGGGCGGCAGGATATGACCTAGTTTGGAACACTTTTTTGCCACCAAATTTCAGACAGCTGATTGAAGGATTGCCGAATGCCGATCATCTTCTCACCCTGCCAAGAAAGACGCTATTTCTATACCTGACTGAGAATCCCGTCTGTATCAATGACAGGAATGTGGCGCAGGTATTTTCTTTGAGAACTCTACGCATTTCTTTCCTGCTTCGGTGATTTTCTTGTTTCTAAGCAGTAATTTAAAATTTAATGCTCAATTTTCCTTGGTTTATTTTGATAGAAAATCCTGTTAAATAGAAATACTGGTCATATTGCGTACTTTTACGCGGGGACGTCAATTAATGTTAGCTGGTTTGATGAAGTAATAATGGACGGAACTCATCAGAGAGAATCTTCTATATCTACTCCGATACGACCTTTATGGTATATATATATAATTATATCAGCTCTGAATCATCGCATATTACAATATATGAGTAATTTACTATGTACTTTCTGTTTGCTTAGGTTTCCAAGATGCATGGACTTGATTAACCCCTTGTGGTTGCAGTTGAATGCATTGATTAATCCTGTGCTTCTATCTAGAAATTGTAACTATACAGTGAGATTCATTTTCCGGATGCTGCCGGAGTTCATGGGACAGAATGATGCTCCTGACCAGGTTCTCTGTAATATTCGCATCGGTGGCAGGCCGGTTTCTGCTCGTCTAGTGTACTTTAGGAGTAACAATGCGGTTGGGCCTGGGGTAAACGAGCAACTCCCTCATGATGATGATTACTGGGCATCCTATGTGGAAGAACTGGAACCGCATGGATGGCTTGAAGCAAATATTGGGGAATTTTACTTGGACAACGACGATAGGGGAAATGTACATATTTCAATACGTGATATGACAGCAGCAAATTGGAAAGGCTTTATACAAGTGGCGGGGATTGAGTGTATACCTAGTGATTAACTAGGTCCAATAATTGCTGCTGTAAAAAAAATTATCCACTTTCTGTAAAGGTTTTGAGTAATGACTATAAAATGCTGGATCACGAGTTTAAATCCTATTGATGTTGTTGAACCTCAGCCTTGCTTTTTAACTTTTTTAAGAGTTAAGTACATAATTGGCGTTTTAATTAGTTTACTAGTATCATTAGATTTTAGACAAATATTGTAGTCCTATATCTAATTAAGGATGGTGATGGGGTGTGAACGGGACGTTATGCCATAGAACCGTATTCACCATTAATTGCGTGAACAAAGATTTCGGATATTTTGCGGGTATGAACCGTGTTCACCATTTTTTTTTTTTTAAATTAATTGCGTGACTTTTCTTCTTTATTTTCACATTTTGCGGTTTCACTTTAATTTGAGGTGAACAAAGATTTCGGACATTCATGCAATAACAATTGAGAATTGAACCCGGTCTCTATGTTGGATGTTTGAAACGTACACTGCCAAGCTATCTAGGATGGAGTGAACTCAAGGATGATGTCCAAAGGGAGACATGAGACCCCTTTTAGAATGTCTAGACCTCCTTCCCTTGCTACCAAGTGTATGGTCTTGGTTGCTCTCCCTTCTTGGTCATATCCGTGTCTTATTTTCACTCCCACTACATGTCATGTTGTCCTTCACATCATGTCATCACCAATAAGTATAGCCTACTGCCCTTCAATACAAAAAATGTAGAGTAACTTATTAGTTTTGTGGTTGTGTAGTTGACTTGTAGTAGTGGCTTTGAATCCTCTTAGCTACGCCTCACTATATATAATTTGCTCCACCTTCACACCTCCTCTTTTTGCCAATTTAACGGCCCCGGCCCCTATGATCCCATCACGAGTCCACACACTTTTATTAGTTGTCTTTGACGAGCAAAAATATTATAGATACCCACGAACTTCTACACACCTTGACCATTAGATTCCTCCAATGGTGGGAATTCTAGGTGTTAGATACAAATAATCTAACTATACTGAATATTAGTATTGATTTCCAGCCACAGTTGATGTTCCTGTTGTGTTGCCTCTTAACGGTAGACCGTTAGTCAAGTTTTGCCTCATACCTGACTCAGAACCCTAGATGGTGTATTGGTGTCAACTGAGCAGTATGAGTACCGTATATGTATGTACTGTCTAATTCATAAACCTGTATCCCATCAATCCAGGTTTATATTAGGCACAAAGTTTGGTTGACTAACAACTTCTAGTTATTTAGTCCAACCAGACCACTTAATAAGCCTAATCAACTTGTACCACTTAATTAAGGCTCTAATATATAATATATAATATATATTATTAGGGAAAATATTACAATAGGCACCATCCATGTGTACTTGATTTTATTATTTTTCCTTGGACATGGACTCCCAATCTCATTGACCTTGGTACAATTGCAACTCAATCATGATGCGGATGATCATGCATTGTCCCGCATGCCCATGCTACTCCGTAAGCGGTTGACATCCCTTGACATATCTAAACATGGCATGGTGGACACACTGGAAAATTTGGACACACTAAAAAAGTGATGCAAATGACTAACAGTAAAGGAGAGGGACTTTCTTTATTAACTTGAACAGTTACACACTTACACTGGGGCGCAGAGATGTCGGCGACGAGAAATCATGCAAAGCCAATCAACTCCCTTCCTATCTTGTCTGTGTGAACGGAAAACGTCTTTCCGGCAGAGATGTCGGCGACGAGGAGGGGAAGGATGTCGGAGAAGAGAAGGAAGCCCAAAGGATGTTTAAATAACATGAAATGACACTTTTACCCTGTTTAAATAACATCAAAACGACGTCGTTTTGAATACAACGGTGTGGATTTGCCAAAAAATAGTGGATAAGAAATCTGGTAGGGGAATAAAGCATTTTCCTATTCTAAATTAAACTTACATATTTTAACCGGAAAATAGTATTGTTGCGTAAAACATCAACCTAAATTACTAATTGAAGGTTGAGGCCGTTGAACCAACCTTAATCTATTAGGTGTGTACATTTCTTAAAGTTGAATTAACTCGAATATTAAGTATAATATAATATTTAATTTAATTGCAAATCAAAACATAACATTCATGATCTATTATCACTATAATCTCATTAACCAACAACAATGAAAATGTGTCCACTACTCTTTGAATTGTAATTACAATTCAACTAAGGGTGTGTTTGGAAACCTGGAAAATGAATTCTGAAAATCATTTTTCAAGTTTTCAGTGTTTGGATGTGCCTGGAAAATCAAGTCAACGGAAATCATTTTCCGTTGACTTTGGAAAATAGGCTTGTTTTGGAGGAAAATGACTTCCCCTTTTTTTGGGGAAGTCATTTTCCAACTTTTACACCAACATCACACCACCACCAACATCATCAACACCATACCACCATCACCACCACTATTGCCGCCGCCACCACCACTATACCCCCGCCACCATCACAACACCACCACTACCACCACCGCCACCATCGCCGCCACCACCACCACCACCACCGTACCACCGCAACCATCGCCACCATACCACCGCACCACCGTCGCCGCCACCACCACCATACCACCGCAACCACCGTCGCCGCCACCACCACCACCACCACCATACCACTGCAACCACCGTCGCCGCTACCATCGCCACCACCACAACCACCATCGCCGCCACCACTACCACCGCCACCGCCACCACCATACCACCGCCACCACCACCACACCACCGCCATCACACCACCACCATACCACCGCAACCACCGCCGCCACCACCACCACCATACCACCGCAACCACCGTTGCCGCCACCACCACCACCACCACCGCAACCACATGACCACTGCCACCACTGTCATACTACCACCACCATCACACCAACACCACTACCGCCGCCGCTGCCACCACCACCATACTACCGCAACCACCGTCGCCGCTGCCACCACCATACCACCGCAACCAACGCCACCACCATCACACCGCCGCCGCCGCCACCACCACGACCATACCACCGCAACCACCACCGCTACCACACCACCACCGTCATACCACCACCAATTATTATTATTATTATTATTATTATTATTATTATTATTATTATTATTATATAACGAATAACACCACTACCACTACACCACCATCACCACCACCATAATATTTTTGATATATTATTAGTTTTTTTTTTTTGTTTTTTGAAAAACTTAGCTATTTTTTATTATATTTAAAATTAATATTATATTATTATACATGTTGTAATATTCTAAATAAAATAATTAAAATATTTAATTATACAATTCTACTCATTTTCCAGAAAATGAACTAAACACAGAAAAACAGTTTTCCATAATGCAACCAAACACTGGAAAGGAAAATATTTTCCGGAAAATGACTCATTTTCCAAAAGTCATTTTCCTGCTTTCCAAATGGACCCTAAAGTATGGGACTTACCTTAAGTTAATGGGGGGTTTTATAAATGAATTGTTTTTTTTTTTTTTTTTTTTTTTAAAATTTTGGTCAATTATTAATCTACATTCACATTTAGTGAATAATTATTATCTTGTACCAGAAGATCACTCAATTTTTACTATTACTCTCTTAGTCAATTCATCGCACATGATATTTTTAGTACGATTTATCTCTATAGTGTAATTTATGGGTTATTACATAATGTACATTATGTAAACTATTAGATAACCCAAAAGGCCAAAAATGACTAAATATTGTATAAAATGACAATTTTGCCCTAAATGCAACAATCATAATACATGGAGATGAAATGTGAAATTATATAATAAAGGCGGGACAAAAATGTAAATAAATATTTAATGAAATCTGCATCTTCAAGGCAATCGAAATTTCGATCAATCGTTTCGGGTATTGGACTGGGTCGGGTCGGGTCGGATCGGGTAATTAATTATGGGTTCTCCGGCGCTAAATCGTAAATCTCCTATAGACACGCTTCATGGTTCATAGTTCATACATTCTCTTCTAATTTCCTTTCACAGAGAACCTGTCGTCTCCGATCAAACCCCGTTGCTTCGTCTCTCTGATCCTCTTTTTGTGTGTATCTATCTATCTCTTTCTCTAACCCTTCTATTAGTAAGTATTATCTCTCTCTCCCTACATTTCTGTATAAGCCGTGTACATGTATTCCTAGATCACAGCGTTCCGATCAATTTGCTAGGGTTTTTTTAGTCAAGCAGAATTCTTTCTTCTGGGTTCTATTTTATTTGGCAAGTAATTTCGATGGTATCCGGTATTTGTTAAAATTATTATGCTGTTCTTTAATCGTGTAAAAATCGGTTGTGTTGGACTGTTGGGTGTCTATTTTAGAGCTCGAAAAATCTGTGGGTAGCTTTGCAGCTGGATGGTAACTTCTATATTTGATACTGTAATTAGAAAGCAAAAAACTTTAGGGAATATTGAATATACAAAGAATATTCACATGGTTGTAAATGGATGTCCCTTGGTATCTTCTTTTGTTGCATTGTAACTTATTGGACATTTGGACAATTGGACTTCCCCAATCCAAAATAGAAGGAAAGATAAATTTGAAAGGAGAATTAGCTTCTTAGGTGACGGATCTTATGACATTGGCATGCATATTGCTAGAGTTGCCTCTGCTAAGTTAACTTAGCCATTTGACTTTTTTATTGCAGTTTACTAGCTGAACTAGAGTTGGAAGGTCATATTGATCACAGTGTACATTATATTTCAAGGATGAATATGCAGCCAGTTGTGCAGACAAGATCTTCTGCCAATGGATTTGGTCGTCGCAGAACGGGTAGAGAAACTGGAATAAAGTTGCAGAGTGCAAAAACAAATTCCAGTCGATTGACAAGTGTAGGTGAGAGCTGGTGACTACAAACAACTAAGCATTTAATACTCTTTTTAAGTTTCAATAGCATTAATGCTGAAAAAAATTCCAGGTCAAAAGGGAGATTCTGAAATCCCTTCACGTGATCGCCTTGTATATATAACTGCTTGCCTTATTGGACATCAAGTGGAAGTACAGATGCTGGATGGCTCCGTCTTTTCAGGGATACTTCATGCAACTGATACTGTTCAAGATTTTGGTATGTTAAAAGACAAAACGTGTTCATTTATATTCTATTGTTGATGGCTGGTTCATAAATATTATTTTGAAATATTACATATGTGTTGGTAATTTAAATTGGTTTTGAAATATAATGCTTATTTTTTGAGCTGAATTACTTCAGGCATTGTTCTGAAGATGGCACGCTTGATTAAAGATAGTTCTCATGGGCCCAAGAGTAATTCACAATCTCTTAGCAAGCCTTCTTCAAAGACATTCATAATACCATCTAAAGAGCTTGTGCAAATTACTGCTAAGGTTTTATTATTTTTTTCCTCTCAGTTTATGTATACAATTAAATTTTAAATTACACATGTAGACATTTAATTTGTCAATCACAAGATTTTTAGTTTAACATAATAGTTCTGTTGCTTGCATGGAACAGGATGTGCCTGTAACTTCAGAAGGATTCAAATATGACTTACAACAGGAAGCACAGCTGGATTTAATGACAGATTCTTGCATATCACAGTCCCGGCAAGTTGAGGTGGGGCGAGAGCTGGAACGTTGGGTACCTGACAGTGATGCTCCTGAATGTCCCGAACTGGATAATATATTTGATGAGCATTGGAACAGGTTAATAAAGAACCTCTTATTCCATTTTGGTGGATGTTTTGGCTGTGTAAATATTAAGAAGGTTGCCTGATATTATGGTTAACAGCTTAAAGCTCCACATTTTCTCTCTAGAACTTAAAATCATTATCACTGCATGTCTTTTCTTTTCTTTTCTGGAAAAATTAAACACACTATGTGAAGGAAAAAGTATAATACTTTGTGGTTTCTAATTATGTAACATGTTGGGTCTTTATTCTAGCCATTTTCAAATTAGCATTTTTCTTAGCTGTCCCTTCATAGGTCAGTTCCCTTAAAAAGGTGGATGCTGAATGCTTTTAACGTATTATTTCTGTTTTATGAGCAAGCCTCTTCATATATGCTTTTCTTCTAATAATGAATTACATAATTATGGTGAAGCTGAGGCCAGGAACTAGATACCGGAGAGATACTTGTATGGATGGGCAGGGTGATAGTGTCTGTTTCATTGTGCTGCTTAGATGCACTATTTGTCTATGAAATGATCTGAAATAAGTTGATAATCCCATTTCATTAATGATCTTCCCCTGTTATGTTTGATTTATGCGCTTGGCCTTCATTTATAATAGGGGCTGGGATCAATTTGAAGCAAATGAAACACTATTTGGTGTAAAAAGCACATTCAATGAGGAGTTGTATACAACAAAGCTTGAGAGAGGCTCTCAGACAAGGGAGTTGGAAAGAGAAGCTTTGAGGATAGCTAGAGAAATTGAAGGCGAGGAAACCCGTGATCTTCACCTGGCTGAGGTAAGAAGAGCCTCACATTCTTTTTTGCAAACTATTTGTTTTATTTTTACTCTCTATTGTTTTATTTTGATTTTCTCCCAACTTCTGTAATAGGAAAGAGGACATCAACTTCATGGACACCTTGAAATTGATGAGGAAACCCGATTTTCATCAGTCTTTAGGGGGGTTGATGATAGTGGATATGATGATTGTGAGGAAATTTTGTTGGACTCCTGCAATGATGAAACATTTCAGGGTATCTCTAATTCTGTAACGAGGAAGTCGTTCATTGGTATTAGCAGCAACGAATCTGATAATGGAGCTCAATGCCTATCAAGAACTTCAACCATGGTATAACTATCTTGACCTTGATTCATTGTCATTGCTTTAATTACAAAAAAAAAAAGCAACTTTTTCTTCCTTCATATCTAGATTTTGTTTGTGTTTCCTTCATCTGTTTTATGCAATTAGTTTTAATCAAGCCACTTGCAATATGTGCTCAGCAGAATAGGAGAATTAGGTACTTAAGATGGGAACTCTTTCTTCCTTCATATCTAGATTTCCTTTGTGTTATCAACTACTCTATGCAATTAGTTCTGGTCATGCCAATTGCATTACATGCTCAACGCTGTAGCAGATATAGCTATTTAAGATAGTGTAATATTAAGCCACGATGTTTAATGTTTTGGGTATCCCTCTATCATCTTCTTTCTTTCTTCCCTCTTTTTTGGTTGTAAAGCTAGGTTTGCACTTCAAGGATACCCCCTTGTCAAAATGTGTTGGTTATTTCACTATTTTTGGGGTCATTTAATAAAATTCTGTCTTAAATTGCAATACTGAAATTCAATTTTGAAAATTTAAAGTTATATAAGATTATAAGAAACTAAATAAAACTGCTACTTGCCTCAAGAATCTAGGACTTCACTAGAAGTCAACATTTTAAGGAAATATATGTCAAAAACATTGATGAAGGATCGGTTTAGTTGACATCCAGTAAGAGAGAATGCCACTAAGAATGAGGCAGATTCTATACTCTTCTCTTTTTGACCAACATTCTTCTTTGTCTTCTTGCCACTTTTGTTCTCTCGGAGATGGGAGATCTTGGAGGTTGTGGGTTCTGTGACTCATGTTTCATGTCCCCAATAGCCAACTACAAGTTCTCATTTTCTCCCCCATAGTGTAGGGGCACTGAATCCTTTCCCTAGTCAAAGAATGTGATATCCCCTATCTCACCTACCCATCCAGCAGCGTATGTCTTTTTGTGATTTAGATATCCCATTATTGCTGTTTATTTACTACTGTTTTTTCATTATTTTGCTCCTTTTTCTTCATTTATATTTTACTATTGTTTAGTCTTGACTACCTGTTTCTTATTGTCTCTCTTTTCTGTAGGATGAAGCACAATCTTCCTTGTCAAGTACTAGTAGGGATGTTTATTGGACTGGTATTGATGATCAGGCTAAACAGTTGTCAGCTGATCATGTTCCCATTACGGAGGAGCGCAGGTTCAATTTGTTTTCCATCATACTTAAATGCTATTATCTCATTCCAGAGTGAATGACCCACTTGACTGGACAGGAAGGATATGGCAACAGAATATAAGATGCATCATCATTAAAATTATCACTCTTAGAATATGTCCCACATGCTTTGTTCAGGGAGTAGAGATGTGACTGCATAAAGTAGGTTATCCTGTGATAAAATTGGTAAAATGAGTATAAGATTCTTTGCTTTATGTGGAATTGGGTCTTTCAGATGGGGAAGGGAATCCTTCTTCGACTCCAAGGGAATGCACTTTATGTCTTTGTTTTTATGCAAAAGTAGGTGATCTTTCTAGGAAATCAATAATTATAACCTCTGTTGCTGTGAACTCTGTTTCAGGGCTCATGAGATTCAGCCTAGTGGACAAGAGGGAACTAGTAGCTTTGATGAGGATAATGTGAAGCAAATGGTGAGCTAAAGCTCGATGTCTATCTTTATTGATGTCTTTGTACTTCATTGTATTGCTCGTGTGCTTTTGGTAATCAAAGAATTCTTGACCGTATACAATTTATGCAGTTGGCTGAAGAGGGTGAAAAGCTGAAGCCTGAGGGTGAGTATACCGTATCCTTATAAGTAACTCTCTAGAGCACATACAATTACTTATTCCTGGACCAGGCTCTCTAAGTTGTCCTAGTTAGTAAATGGCTCTGATTTGATGTCAACTGTATTATGTAACTTTCTTGTAGATGATTTTAGGTGGTGGTTATTGAAATTATTATTTTGAATACTTGTGCAGATCTAAAACCATTTCAAAAACTTAAAATTGATAGCTCTAGTAAGTGTGGATTGCCATCAGATGTCAGTGCATTGCATGTTTCAGCCGAGAGTGAGAAGATAAACTCTAGTGCTAAATCAGAGGGTGCAGTGCCTTCAAAAACTCAGGGTATAAAATCTGCTAGTTGTGCCTGGCCTAGTGCTGATGCAGGGGGTACAGCCTCATTGACAACTGGGACTGAATTGTCACGGAGCTCATCTGTGAGTTCATTGTCGTCAGAAAAGTCAACATTGAATCCTTATGCTAAGGTGAGATCGCTACTAGTTTGAAACTCAATGTTTATGTTCTAAAAGAATTACTATTACTTAAGTCATTGAGTAATATTACTATAAGTGTATAAACCTTCATAGTTTCTAGTACATATTATTTTTTCATGTACTATATGCAAGAAAACATAGTTTCCCTTTTTTTTATTTTTTTATTTTTTCTGTTTCTGCCAATTGTCAGGAGTTCAAACTAAATCCTAATGCAAAGAGTTTTGTCCCATCTCCAACACCTTTGAGACCTGCATCTCCAGTCTCGGATGGTTCCTTATATTATCCTGCTAATGTGGCTGCTGTCCCTCACATGCAAGGCATGACTGTTGGCATTGGGGTAAGTAGTAATCTGGCAAGCCAAATTTATGTCTGTTTGTTTTAATTGCAGAGTTACATCAAAGCATATAAAATTCTTATAGAAGTTCAATGGTTTCTTTTTAAATCTATCTTGAATTTATGGATTGAATCCTTATATGGATCATTATGTCATTTGCACATAGTATGCCATTCAGTGATTGCCATTTGTCATTGCTACACTGGAAAGTTAAACATATTTGTGTCAAGAAACCAGTACAAATTAGTGGGACTGTTGTAGTTATACTTACCTTTTAAAACTCAACTTTCTTTAATGCAATTCTATTGGTTCTAACCTATGGTATTTTGGTACATTCTCAAAAGTGCTAATTACATACCATTTGCAGATTGCACCACCCTTTACTGGATATCAGCCATATATTTATAATCAACAAGTTACACCGGCTCCTCAGCCATATTATCATCCGAATGGACCTCAGGTTTGTCTCCTTTTGTGGAGTATTTTATCTTTTGTTTGTTTAGTAGTTTTCATGCTTCTCAAGGGGAACTTGAAAAGTGTGTAAAATTTTTATCTACTAATTTTGCAGTATGGACAGCAGATGTTACTTGGTCACCCTCGTCAAGTTATGTACATGCCAAACTACCCTCATGTAAGAAATTAAATGTTTAGCTTTAATTATTACTGATTTTTCTTTATCAAGTAATTCTTCTTGTCAAGTTACTGAGGTAGTCTTAACCATCCAACCATCTACTTGGTTGTTTTACTAAAGCTAGATTAGATACTCCAAGGGTCTTCCATCTGTATGACTGTTACTCTGTTAGTATATAATTGGTGCACATACTCCACTGTATAACTAAGCCTTTTTTTCTCAATGCAATATAGTTGCTTCTCCTTGTCATTCAATTGTATTGAAGTTTCCCATCTGGTCTGAAAAATTTTCAAACCCTAATACAAATTGTGAAGAATATAACTCTCGTGATGACAGTATGTTGAACCCACGTCCTCCTTAGTCCGGTTGTTGCTTATACCCAACTTAAATTGATTACAATTGAGTGTTTAGAGTCCAGACTTCAGCATTTCTTTCCTTTTGGCAAGTAGGATATATTGGTTTGTGTGAATGAGAGTAGAAACTCAGTAACCTTTTCCAATAGAAGTTCATCTTACTCGTCTGGAGTTATGTCTATTCTGAGCTGATGAATGGTGGGGTCTTGTGTTTGACAGGAAATGCCGCACAAGGGAAGAGATTTTTAATGAGATGATTGACACAATGTTTCTGCAATGCCTTGGGCAATTGCGGTTATAGGAAATAAACTTCTGACACTTTGACTGCTTGGAACTATTTTTTATGTATCTTTGGTGAGCACTAGATAGCTGATAAGGGGTTCCAACATTTCTCTTAGCGTCGTTCCAGGTGATGGGAAGTTTGTTATTTCATGGTTTTTTAAATTTTTTTTAGTTTTATTTATTTTATTTTTCTTTAAAACACAGATGGATCAAGTGTTCTGTTGTTGAACTTGTTTTCTTTTTAATTTAGTGGATAGATAGTCTCAGGTCATTTGTGTAACTTAAAATCCCATGCGTTTTGGCTCTTTCATTATTTTCCGGGTAAACAAGTGTATAAGATAATAGAGGTTGAATTCACCTCCAGTTTGGTCTGTGCATGTCATTGCAAGGCAGTTAGAGGTTTGTGTTGCGCATGTTTTTCTTGTACTAGTATCCTTTGCAAAAGCAGTCTTTGTTTTTTAGGGTATCCTCATTCCCTGTAATTCAAAACTACCGATTCTGGACAATCCTATTCAAGTTGGTCAGGCTATTGGTTTGATCACTGCAAGGTTCTAAGTTTAACTCTTAGTGAAAGTGACATATTGGTCTTTTTGATTTGAGCTGGCTAACTATGAACAATTTAGATTGGTTTATTTCTTTGTGGTCGTTTGCCGACTAGATTCACAAGGTGAAGTTTACCTAATGAACACATTCAGGTAGTTGTTGCCATCATCTAAAAAAAAAATTATTTGTGGCTCTTTGTTGATTAGAGTCACGATGTTTATCTAGTGCACACATTCAGGAAGTTGTCTATGTCATTAAAAAAATCCTTCTAACTAATAATCTTAAAATTGCATTTTAGTAATAAAGTTGCATATATAGAATACGGTTCAAATGTAAATGGTGTCCTCGTGTGCGAACGTGGGGGTGAGATGAGAGCCATTTTAATCTTGTTAAGATCAACATTTAGGATTAACAAGGATTAGAAAAAAATGCGGTGACAATTTGATTTTTTGCATCTAGGTCAAATTTAAAGTGCGTGGTTTTCATTCTTAAGGTGTGTGATTTTTGTGCGTGTGTTTAAAGTGCATCAGTTGTTGAAACTTAAGTGCGTCGATCTAAAGCTTTAGGTGTGTGATTTTCCTTCTTAAGGTGCGTTGATTGTGTGCTTAAGGTGCGTGGTTTTTGTGCCGTGTGCTTAAAGTGCGTCAGTTGTTGAAACTTAAGTACGTTGGTCTAAGCTTTAGGTGTGTGATTTTTCTTTTTAAGGTGCGTCATTTGTATGCTTAAAGTGCGTCGGCCTAAAGCTTTAGGTGCGTGGTTTTTCTTCTTAAGATGTGCTGTTTTCCATCTTAAGGTGTGTTGTTTTTATCTTAAGTTGTGTTGTTTTTTTCCTTCTTAAGGTACGTCTGTCTAAAGCTTTAAGTGTGTGAGTTTCGTTCTTAAGGTGCATTGTTTTCTTTTCTTAAGGTGCTTTGTTTTCCTTCTTAAGGTGCACAATTTTTACAGTTTTTTTTTCACTCAACAGTACAATGGTGCTTTTTCGTTTTGGTTTTCAAGTTCAAAATGATTTGATCAAGGTTTTGTTGTTTTCAATTATCTAATTCAAAAGAAAAAAAATGATAGCAATATTATAACAAATAGTGGAGTTGTTATCTTTGAAATAAACCTGAAGAAGATGGATGCATTAATTGAGGATGAACGTTTTTTTTTTTTAAATTTTCATTGATTTGAGCCATTGATCTAAATTTAATCAACAATTTAGATCTAATCCCATCGTTCACCTGAGAGCATCTGCGCACCTGATCTCAACCCTATATATATATATGATTAACTACAAACTTGTTCTAAACATGTCCTACTCCTTACATACTAGAAATCAGTGATACACAGGGAAAAAGAAAACAAATCGGTACGGGAAAGATGGGGTAGTTTGCGATAGGGAAGCGATCAGTAGGATCGTTTAGGCTGATACCAGATTAGAAAAGATAATTCATTCAATTCAAACTGAAACCAATTACACGTGAGTATATCTAGTCTCACCACTAAACACTCCTAACTAATAGACTAGAACTATAAGACTAATTCTAGAACCACACAAATACTAACTATGTTACATGTAATCAAATAATAATAATAATAGTAACACTAATACAAAAATCTTTCCATTATAGTTTTCACCAATGAAATGATTAATCCCAGTAAGTGGTGAATACACACAAAGTGTTAGTGGTGGGGAACATATACAGGATGATCCCTGCTTCTGCCTCTGCCTGGGTAACTCCCATCCATTCCCTATTCCCTATTCCCTATTCCCTTCACATTATATTGTGAAGTTTTCTAGGAACATACATATGTGTACGGTGTACCTATGCATATTGTTTTCATCACATCATTCACCACTAACTCACGCGCAATTCATCTACTAATATCAAAATTTGTTTTACACAAATATTCTTAGCCCGTCACGATTCAACTATGAGTTTAAATCATCACGAGAAAAAAGATCAAATAAGTCCCTAAACATTACCTAAAAAGTAAATTAGGTTCTTAAACTTTTAAAAGTACAATTATGCCCTTTAACATGTCATATTGAGTCAATGAGGTTCAAGAATCGAGAATTAACCTGCTATTGCATGTCATTTTGATTCTGGCGACTGCCAACTGCCAGAGAAGGCGACCAGTTGGTGGCCTTCTCCGACGGAAGGCAACCAACTGGCCGCCTTCCTCGGCAGAAGACAACCAACTGTTCGCCTTCTTCATGGAAGGTGACCATCTGGTCGCCTTCTCTTGGTCACCTTTTGTCGGGGTAGGCGACGAGTTGGTCGCCTTCTCCGATGGAAGGCGACTGGTCGTCATGGAGAAGGCGAACTGTTCCGATTCATGGTTGCACAGTTATAGTCAACCACCATATCACCAATTGTACTATTGCTTTTAATTTGCTGGCCCTATTATATAATGGCTCACCTGACTTTCACTGTAAAAACATGAAGCCTGGTGACAATGACAATCCACTAAACAAATACTCATCTACTCATCTTTACTGCAATCCAAGTTGGTAGGCTGGTACCAAAACTTTGTTGCTGTGAATAGCAACGAGACTTTTCTGTTGGTCGCAAACAAATTTTCTTACATTTATTTCTTAAATTTTGTACTTCTTGAATTATTTTTATATAATTATTAAGTCCACACTACTTTTTTTTTTTTTTTTGCAATCCATTAATTTATGATTTATAAACATATATTATTGATGGAGTCATGGGACCGCGGGAGCCCATTTTAGTGGCAAAGTCTTAACAAAATAATATAAGAGATGCTACCAGAGTATTAAACCCAAAACCAACCCACCAAGCCACTACTCATCTTGTGTACTAGAAGGTAGAAAACTCCACTTATACATAGGAAGTGCACTGAAAGCAAACGAGTGGGGGAACACGTGTACGACCAATATTGAAGGAAGCTGAGGTTGTACGGAAGGTCTTCAACAATATATAAGACGCCCTTATTCCCTCGTTAAGACATCATCTATTAGCTCACTTAATCCCCCTAGTCCAGTGGTATGAGTTCCTAACCTTCAACCCATACGCCAGAGTTCGACTGCACATGTTCCTAATTTCTACCTGTTTTATCCATGTTCCCTTTACACAATCAAACCCGAGATACGCCAAAATAGTCAAGTTACAAAATGAGCATTCCCTAGACGTATAAGAGCGCTTTAGCCAACAAGGAGGGGATCAGTCAAGTTCGCGAGAGTCAGTTCCTGACCCGAAGAAGGTGAGAGGTCCAATTGGCACTATAGCCGTCGGAGGAGAAACTACCATCGAGAGTTGGACCTAACGTCTAATCTTTTAGCCCGGGAGACTGCTAGCATAATCTGCGAGTGTCCTACCCAGCAGCTGTGGGGGACGTAGCCCGGCCTGCACCGATAGCCGACCGCTGACCCGAACACTTAAGAAAATCATCATTTTACCTCGACTTAGCACTACACGAGCTGGGAGGATGGCAACGCCAAGGAGGGGGCCAGGTGCAAGGGTTCCGAGGCCGGAACTAGGGCCAAAATGAGGGAACACGTCATGAAGGGAGCCCGAACTCATTCACGAGGAGACCAACGAGGCTAACCAAGAAGCCAAAAACAAAAATGGACGCGACAGTGAACCCTAGACATGGTAAGTGGTACCAACGGGTGTTGGAAGCCCCGCAGCCTCGACGAGAGATGCTACAATAAACAATAACACCCAAAGGGACTCGTAGGCTGGATATGTAGTTCGAGGAGGTAATAAAACAATTTTCAACTTCATTTTGTACCCTAGGCTCGGAAAGCACGCTAGTGGGCCTAGAAAAAAATGTGACTAGATTTGCAGGCAGCCCGAGAAGGTAATAAAAAAATATTTTTTTTAGTTATTTTCTAACTACTTTTCACCTCCTTTCATTTCCAGTACTGAGCCCACAACGCATGGTAGGCGGCCAAAGAGAAGAAAAAAGTCTCGTACGGGGTCCGCAAAACAAGCGGAACATACGCATCATCACCAAGGCTTGTAGGGTAAGCAGTTAGCGTGCAAAAAATCTCGTACGGGGTCTGCAAGGCAGGCAAAACGTACGCGTCATCACGTATGCTTGCAGGGTAAGAAACCCAGCTTGCAAATAATCTCGTATGGGGTCCGGAATGTAGGCGGGACATACACATCATCACCTGGGCTTGCAAGACAGGGTATGCAGCCCAACATGTGTAAAAAGTAAAAAGAAAAAAGCTCAAATCCATCTTCTCAGCGGTTGACATATTTCTATCTCACTTCTTTGCGGTCAACATATCTTATCCCACTTTGCAATAGTTGATGCTTTTAATCACGCATTTCAGTGATAGATTTATTCAGCTTCTTAGTGGATCGCTAAGTTACCCCTCGAGGTGAGGCATCTCACTGAGCCCGCACGAAGGGAAGCCAGGAAAAATCTTTCTTTTTCTTGTAGGGTACGTGTGAGAGCTAAATATTCCTGACGAATCGTGTTGAAAGAAGGCGGTAGGGACTATCAGGAGTTGAGAGGGCCCATGCGTGTACAAGATCTTGAGTGTCTATACTTTCTTTGCCCGTCAAAGACAACCAAAGAAAGTAAGGGACTCTGATGGGGCCATGGGACTATAGGCGCCCATTTTATTGGCAATGATCTTGAGCTTGGATAAGGAAGCATGGAGCAAAATATATAACTATATAAGAGGTGCTACCAGGGGTATCAAATCCACAACCTCCCACTTAGCAACACACAACCAACCCACCAAACCACTACTACTCATCTTGCGTATTAGAGGGCAGGAAGCTTCACTTATGCATGTGAAGTGCACTGAAAGCAAAGTAGTGGGAGACACGTGTATGGCCAATATTGAAGGGAAGCCAATGCTATACAATTTTCAACCATCCGAAAGGTCTTCAACAATATATATGGCACCATTATTCTCTCCTTAAAACATCATTCCTTGGCTCACTTAATCCCTCTAGTTCAGTGGTACGAGTTCCTAACCTTCAACATACACCAGTGTTCGATTACCATTAGCTAGGATATTATTTTTAGTTCATTCATTGGGCTATAGCTTATCCACAATTTTACTATCCTATATTTTAATTAATTATTTATTTCTGTACTATTTATTTATTATTTGTGCCGTCATTTTGGGACAGTATCTCGAGCTTTGTACGCACTCTATTGGATCTAGCATACTGAGCAATAATACTATTATTTTCATACTTCTATTGTACTTTTATACCCGATTTATGGTGGATCCGGTCTTGACAAAACCATCAATTATATATTATAAAAGTTTTTTTGTAAGAAAATTATAAATAATAATGTATTATGAAGGGTTTGTAAGAGTGTATTCAATTTCTAATTTTAATATGGAAATGTTTATAAATGTTTGCCATACAAATTTTTATATATAAACTCGTATGAAAATCATTTAAAATTGAAGTACATACACCCCTTTACTTTTTTTTTTTTGAAATAATTATGATTCTTTACAAGAAGTAGTATATATTCTATACTTTCTCAAACATTTTCAGCTCCAAAAATCTAAACCCCCATCCATCGGGGTTCAAACCTTTGACCATCCACTTAAATGAATAACCGGGATGTCATTGCACTACATAGTAGTTGACATACACCCCTTATTTGGCTAATAAGCATATTTTATATCACCGAGTAAATTTGTATCATGGATCACTACTTGTTTTAAGCAAGTAGACCAACTCTCTTTTCAAAAACCAATCTGCATTAAACAGATATAGATTCTCAACAGGGAGTTCCAATGAGATGACTATCATATCAATGAAGAGAATGATGGACTCCTGAATCCAGATTCCCAACCCCTTCATTTTCATACCTACAAATTAAAATTCAAACATGGTGGGTCCAAAATAAAGTGCTAAATATGCATGCCCATTTTAAATTGACAATAATATTTGAAATCCATTTCTCCTTGGTTTCTTCCTATAAAAACACCACAACCCTTCCTCAAAAAGGCCATCTTTAATTTCATAAGTATATTGCTCTACCCCTACCCCTATCTAAAACACATGGGGAATTGCATAGTTCCACAGGCAAAGGCAAAGGCAAAGGCTATCAGAGTGATGAAAACAGATGGGAAAATCCTGGAATATAAACCTCCAATCAAAGTCTTATCAGAATTCAAAAGCCATGCAGCCATCTCTGATTCACCTGCAAAAAAGAAGAAAGTCAAGTTTGCAGATCAGGTAGAAGAAGAAGAAGTAGTGGGTCAACAGGTGATGAGGATTAAGCTAGTCATCAGCAAGCAAGAGCTGAAATCAATGCTGAGTGGAGAAGGAATATCTCTTAGTGACATTATTGTGTGTCATCTTAAGAATGAAGGAAAGTGGACTGATCAGATCAATAGAAATGATAATGTTGATGATGATGATGATGAAGTTTTCTCTAAGGGGTGGAAGCCAATGCTTGATAGCATACCTGAAATAATAGACTATGCTGCATGAGATATTATCATTACTGTTACAAAGATATAGCTTTTCATCTTCATTATATGTATGCACAAAAAGTATCTTAATAACTCTTGTCTGTAATGTCAAAAGACTTTTAAGTTACAAAAGAAACAGATCGAGAAAATGCAGATAGATAGATGTTAATGTGCATGAAGACCAATATGGCAAGTGGCATGGGGTACGCGTATATATGTTTCCAAATTATGATGTGATGTTATGATAGCTAGAAGTTTATCAAAGCCATTAATAGCATGAAGGAATCTCACCTTCTTGCATTCAAGTTAAATAATCATTGCCTCGGGTTAGCATAGTGACTGATCACCTGACTTCAAATCATGGCTAAAGGCGACAAAGTGAGGGTTCGAATCCCACCTCAAATATCATTGGAATTGGACTCCCCAAGTTGGAGTAGCCTGTGGGTTGGGCTCCTTATATGCCCATAGTAAGGCAGGAGACTGACGTACTGAAAGGTTGGACTACTTATGTCCATAGTAAGGCAGGAAACTGACTGAAAGGTTGTTCATGCGACACTTGGACGAGGAACTAGAGACTACTAGGGTTAGTTTTATGTAAGTTTGGATATTTATGTATTAAAAAATAAAAAGTTGAATGATCATTTTCCGCTACCTTTTGTCTGCCTGCTAACTGCACTACTCATTGTTGAGTATATAGCCATTAATGTGTAATCCAACTATTAGCTTAGACTTTTAGTTGAGATGGAGAATTCTCGTCATCATCATGCTATGCCCATTGTGTTGGTTGGTGAGTTAAGTGTAGATTTAGATAGAAAGTAATGGAGCAACTGCTCATAGTGCAGCTGGTAAATGCCATCATCATATCTTCTAACGCTTAGTAATGATGATTTTGGGACACATATACGTAAATCAATTTCACAAATATATAACTCATCATCAGGCAGTTAGTGCTAATTAATTAGGCTGCTAATGTAATTACAACATCATATCGTTTCAACTAATTAAGGTAGAGTTAGTTACTGAAACTAGAGAGTATAATGTTCATTTCACTTAATTAGCTTGATCAAAGTACTCTTAATTAAACACAATTTCTAAATGAGTTAATTCCGAATTTAGTTCTCTAACATTTTAAGTTTTAGTCATTGACTTTAAAAACTATCAAATTTAGTTCTTAAATATTGAATATTTTCCAATTTTAATCCACTAGCTATTGACATTTCCTTGTGGGAATCATTAAGTATAAAATTACAAAAGTCATCACCGTTGCGCAAAAATTATTTCTTACAAGCGGTAAATAAAACCTTAATTTTTTTATTCTAGCAGGCATAATTTTACCCATAATGTTAATGATTCACACATGAAAAAACTAATGATGGATTAGAATTGGAAATGATTCAATACATAATGACTAAATCTGATAATTTTAAAAGTCAATGACTAAAATTGAAAATGAATGATAGTTAGAAGACTAAATTCATGAATAACTATGTATGAATTGTCACAAAAAATATCAGTTGATGATCCTTTTGTAATAAAATAAAATATAGATGACTATTTTAAAATTTTGAGAAATTGTAAGGACAATCGAAGAAAACATATTTACCTGCGCAAACTATGTATATATTGGAGAGTTAATTCCAGTAATGGTCCTCCGACTATGTTGATTTTTCACAATTGGTTCCCGTCTTTTAATTTGGACAATTTAGACACTTGACTATCAAAATCTTTCTAATATTGGTCCTTCCATTAGTTGAAAGTTAAATGGATGTTAGTTTGAGGGGTAAAGTAGTCATTTACGTGCTTAGAGTATAATTCACGGTCTTTCCCCTTTTCCTTGTATTCATTCCCTACCGGAAAATTGCCGCTGGGTATCCCTGTAATTCAAATCCGCTTCTCTTGGAGATTTGGAGACGAAGGGAGTGTAGTAATGAAACAGCCTTCTTATCTAGCTCATGTGGCTTTCATAGGCCGCCTCCCTCCCTGCTTCGCTTCAACTCATAACGTACTGGATTTTGTACAGATTTCCAGCCCTGTGCGAGAATGGAATCGTCGTCGATGGTTAGGACGGCTTCTATCTAGCTCATATCTCCTAGGTCTTGTCTTGTGGCTCCTAATTCTGGGAAACTTTGTTGCAGAATTTGAAGAAGGGTGTCGGTTGGTCCGAGGTACAGGGAGTTGAACATGACTTGTACGGTGTTTTGGGGTGTTTGTCCGAGTGCGATTATTCTTATGAAGAGTTCTAGGGGTAGCTTTGGGCCGATGGACTGCCGTTTGTGTACGAGGTTGGTGGCGTTTTGGTCCGGAGTTTTGACGATGTTGAAAGTCGTTGCGGTTTGGAGAACATCGATCAACCAATTGTACTTTCCATGAAAGAACCACCCTGAATGTATTCCCTCTCCCTCCTCGGATCGCCAGAACAAATCCTCCCCCATGGATTTCATGTCCAAAACCTTCCCCTTTGCATCAACCAAACGCGCATCCACGACATGATCCGCCGCGAGCCCGTGTTTTCTGAGCATCATCCCATAACCGTCGCCGCTAAAGTTCCCTCCAACACCAATGGAGTGGCACACGCTCGCCGCAAACCCAATAATTTTACTCTTCTCCGATATCCTATAATACAGCTCCCCAATCGTCGCGCCGGATCCAACCCACGCCGTCTTTTCCGCATAATCAACGGTGACGTTATTGAAATTGATCAGATCAAGAACCAAGAACGGGTTTTGAATCTTCTGATCAACCTACTTGGTGTACGAGAGCCCTTCGTAGTCATGGCCGTCGCTGCGGAGTGTCCGAGGAATTGAATCGGGTATTCTTGATTGGGTACTGTAAGACGGATAAGAAGGCTGTTTCATTACTATACTCCCTTCGTCTCCAAGTCTCCAAGAGAAGAGTATGTTAATTACAGGGATGCCTCGTCTCATTTTCATCGCCGTTGCCGTTGTCACTTTCTCCGTATAATTTCCCGGTAGGGAATGAATACAAGGAAAGGGGGAAAGACCGTGAATTATACTCTAAGCAGGTAAATGACTACTTTACCCCTCAAACTAACATCCATTTAACTTTTAACTAACGAAAGGACCAATATTGAAAATATTTCAAAAGTCAAGTGTCTAAATTGTCCAAATTAAAAGTCGGGGACCAATTGTAGAAAATTAACATAGTCGGAGGACTATTACGGGAATTAACTCATATATTGGACAAAACGACTTTTGAATTTCTGCTCTCTAATGTTTGGATCTCCAATGGATTCCGTCGTTGAGATCTGGTCCCATGGATCCGCCGCCGCCGGCATTCACCTCCGTAATCTCTGGCCGAAGCTTCAGCTGCAGCCGCAGTCGCAAGCCACGGTCTCAAGAAGGCCTTCTCGGCGACATTCCGGGATCGGACTTCATTTTGAGTCTTGATTTTGATTAAGATAAGATGGTTTTGTCCTACATACATACTGGACTGCCTTGCAAAATCATAGACGACATCTCCACGCTGCTCTTGTTGAATTGTCAAAAGATGGTCAATAAACGATCCTCACCTCTCAACCTGCATTCTAACAATAGAAGACACCCCATTAGCCTCTAGTTACTATACAACAAAAGAAGAAAATATGTGAATGCAGGTTCACGTTGATTTCTGGTTTAGAATAATGAAACTTAAATGTACATTATGAATTATAAAAATGTATATTGCAACAAATTGCATGAAAAAATAAAATTACACAAAATGAGTGTCATTTTTTGAATCATAATTTACACAGCTATTGTACATATACACCAAAGTTCATAGTGGACCGTGAATCGAGTTGCATGGTCTAAGAATTGGTAAAAGTGAAGTTGTAAATAAAAGCCGGAGAGGGGAATTAGCAAGTGGGGCAAATTATATTATAGATCAGGGTGTACCTTGCATTGTAGATCCTAGTCAAAAATAAGTAAATAATCTCCATATTCTTATTCCAAACGGCTGAATCTCCAACCCTAAGGGTCCCCACACTCCGACCCAACATAGCATGTGGGAGTATGTAAATCACGGTGACTCAATGGGCAAGAGATCATGCGAATCAAACCGAACCTTCCAAATAACCTCCATATCCTGTATTTACGATTGACACATTTTGTATCTGCCGTTAATAATTTTTGTATATGTAAAAATGTAACTATCATATTATGTATCAGTAATTATCAAATTATTTATTTATAGAGTAAATACTCAAAATGGTCCCTCGACTATAGCTAAATTCACAAATTAGTCCTCGACTTTTAATTTCAACCAATTAAGTCCTTAACTTTGTAATTTTAACACAATATGGTCCTTCTGTCTATTTGACCGTTTGTTGACTGTGATTTTTGAGGATATATATGTAATTTCATGGTTCATCGTCGGTTTTTTAAGGGTCTGGTTGTATTTCCAGATCGCACTATTACATTTGAATCCACTGCCAAAAGCAATCTACCAAATCCGGTCGCCTTTCTTCATCCTCCCTTTGAATTCAATGTAGTTGAGTTCGTACCAGAGCGAAGAAGACGACGTGTTTCCGAACCAGTGCAACGTCATCCTGGAAGCCTCCACGTGCTCCGACGAGAGTTGAAGGTTCTTATGGAGATCGTTGATCACGGCCAACAAACGGTCAAATAGATGGAGGACCAAATCGTGTCAAAATTACAAAGTTAAGGACTTAATTGGTTAAAATTGAAAGTCGATGACCAATTTGTAAATTTAACTATAGTCGAGGGACTATTTTGAATATTTACTCTTATTTATATGTACAAAAATTATTTATTATAAGTATAAAATATTTTAACTGAAAATATATAATTTTTGTATCAGGATTCCCAATAGCATTGTGAATCCGTGACCAAGTGGTAGTATGGAACCGGCCCAATTTCCTTTATTCCAAAATCGCGGCGGGTACGCAATAAACCCAAACCCCATTCTCTCCGTCTCTTTACGCAGTCTCGTGCACGAGGAACCTCACCTCCGAGGCCAGTATCTCCGATCGCTCAATCTCCGGATACCTAAACCCTAGCTTTTTCATCTCACACCCGAGAGAGAAGAGGATACCAGACCAAGTGTTGCCATGGCGTATCAACCTGGAGCTCCGAATCATAGCGGCGGAGAAAACGATCAAGACCTCCACAATCGGCGGCTCTATAACCCTTACCATGACCTCCAGATCCCAATCCAGACCGTATACAAGCTCCCCACCACCCCGGAGTTCCTATTCGAAGAGGAATCGCGCGTGCAACGGCGATCTTGGGGCGAAAACCTCACCTATTATACCGGTATCGGCTATCTCGCCGGCGCCTCCTTCGGGGGTGCTAAGGGGTTTTATCAGGGCGCCAAAGCCTCTGAGCCCGGAGACAGCTTGAAGCTCCGGGTCAATAGAATCCTGAACGGGTCGGGTCTCAACGGCCGCAAATTTGGTAACCGGGCGGGCGTCATAGGGTTGCTTTATGCTGGGATGGAGAGTGGCATGGTGGCGGTTAGAGACACGGATGATGTCATCAACAGCGTGGTGGCGGGGCTAGGGACTGGCGCGCTTTACAGGGCGGCTGCGGGGTTGAGGTCGGCGGCTGTGGCCGGAGTTATCGGCGGCGTGGTTGTTGGCTTGGGAGTCACCGCCAAACAGGCTATGAAACGATATGTTCCCATCTGAGCTTCTTTCTCTTCATCATCATCTTGTATTTCTGTAATTTTGATGATATGCATATGCTTGAGAAATTGATTCTCATATTATTCATTCTTGTAGGTGTGCCACAAAAAAGGTGCAAACTTATCTACATTTTTTTGGCTAATATATTCAAAATTATTTGTAGTGAACATTGTGATCCTGAATAAATTTAAACCAAACAGGTGCAGGTGCCATCTATTGTCTGTTTACTTCAAAGTTTTTGTGTGTGTGTGTGTGTGTGTGTGTGTTTAGAGATTCTTGAACTGAATGTGTAGTTTTGGCAGGTATTGTAAGATTTATTATAGTTTATGCATGATCACATATGTACAGCTTTGATGACATTAAGCTGCAAAGGTCATTTTGTGTGGAACTTTGCTCTGAAATAAGATCCTCTGGTATTCTTCCATTATCCCTACTCTTTATATATTGTGATTCCAGCTAGCCTGTGTAGATTCCAAAGAGATGACAAGCTTGAGATGTGTCATGTGTGTTGAGCTAAATTGTGTTTTCTCTATCTTTTGGGTTTGATTTTTGTTCCCTTGCTCTAGGCAGAGAAGAGTTGGTAGCTAGTGCACTGCTACATTCTGCAATGTTTTGGATTGTTCGAGTTCTCCTCATTGGTTCTATCTGCCTCTAATCACTGTGAATCGTTTAGTCCTGGTATTTAGTGCTTATTTAGCAGGAAGTGGTTAGAATCTAATTGTTTGCCCAGTCTAGGGCAGTTGAGCAGTTCTCATAAAATCCATTGTTAGATGAAGTTATTTGAGTGGGTGAATTTGCAATGCTGAATTTCATATTCAGGTGAGAGCATACACACACACACACACACACATACATATATAGAGGTTTATGTTCATGGGAGAACTTACCTTATTGTGTGAACTTGAGAACTTGTGCAATATCTAATGATGCCAGTACATGGTGCAAGGAAAAAGTCAACGCAAGACACGTGCACAACGTGTGTGCATTGTGTTATACATGACATGCATAGTCCATATTAGTTCTCATAATCACATGTTAATATAGGTTCTCGTATGAATATATATATATATATATATATATATATATATATAAACAAACATAAATGTGTAGCACATGCTTCAAATGCAAGTAGGTAAAAGGTCTATTGTAAGTCAGTCTTAATGGAAGGCCAAATACTATTTCCTGGAAAGTTAACTGTATTTGGCATGAGGTAGATGTCAGAATTGACTGATGGAGTATGTGTTTTTTTATTCTAGATCTTTGGTGTTTTGGGAACCATTGGGAAGTTGTAGGTGAATGGAAGCCTCCCCTATCAAGCAAGAAGGAAGCGCAATTGCTGGAGAAAACTAGCAAAGTCTATTGTTGCCACGCCATGGGAACGAGATGCTTTAAATAGGAAAATGTTTTATGGAAAATGAGTCATTTTTCAAAAAATATTTTCTTTTCCCGTGTTTGGCTGCACAACAAAAAATTGCCTTTGTGCGTTTAGTTCATTTTTCAGAAAATGAGCACAGTATAAACAATGCTCAGTTGGCCAAACTGGTGTCGCACCGGAAACCAATCTGGCTGACTGGTTTTGAAAACCAGTCACGCCGACTGGTTTTAGTGGTTTCAGTCGGCCAGACTGGTTTCCGATGACGGGTTTTCAATAGCTTGTTCTGGTAGAGCAACAAAGGCGTGGTAGAGAGGGCAGACCGAAAGGCTTGGAAAATGACTTCCCCTCGAAAAAAGGGGAAGTCATTTTTCTAAAGAGTTAATACCCAAAATCGTCTTCGACTATAGTGGTTTTTCTCAAACGACTTTGGTGACCTAATATCGTCCCAGACTTTTGTGTTTCGCTCAATTTAGTCCTCCATTTGTTATTCCGTCAAATTGGTGTTAAATAAAGGGACAATTTAGTAATGTCAATATTGATCTCTCTTTACTTTCAACTTGTGAAGTGTGAAATTCCTCTTTCTTGTACGAATTACACCCAGAATTACTTCAGGACCTGCAAATCAAATTTTATATTCGCAGTTTTAGGAGTAATTTTGGGAGTAATTCGTAAAAAAAAAAAAGAGATTTCGTAGTTCACATGTCTATGAGTAAAGAGATGCCAATATTAAAATTACTGAATTGTCTATTTATTTAACACCAAATGGACAGAATAACAAATGAGGGACTAAATTGAGCAAAAACACAAAAGTTTGGGACTAAATTGAGCGAAACACAAAAGTCTGGGACGATATTAGGTCACCAAAGTCGTTTAGGACGAAATTGAGAAAAACCACTATAGTCGAGGACGATTTTGGGTATTAACTCTTTTTCTAAAAAACATACCCATACCCATTTTTCCTAGACTAAGAGCACATTTTCCATTGACCTTATTTTCTCCCCTCCCGCTAAATACTAGAAACTCAGAATCATTTTTCGGGTTTCTAAACACACCAACACACCTTTAGTGTGATCTTGGAATATGAATAGGAATACCATTTAGTGTGATGGCATCAACGTTCCAATTATCATTCCTAACGAGTGGTCAATAGCCCCCCTTATTATTTTTTTTAGAATAGGAATTGCTCCAAGGATCTTTCACTACCGGCTGACCCTACCCTCTTCTTAGATTGAACCAATCTATTCTCCTATAAGCTATTAATAATAAGCTCCCATTTTGAAAGGTTTTATCTCAAGAAAGCTTGTTGATGTTCCTTGAAAGCATCCCACTAAGTAGCGAAATGAAAATTTCAATTCAGAATGACTTTATTACAATGAGCAACTCGGGGTAGGGAATGAACTCTCTTTCGAGAGTGAAATTATACAACTCATGCTGTAGAACTGCTTCTCTTATTGCATGATGAAAATATATAGTCTTCCCAATGAGGTACATCCAGTATAAAACGACAATTGGTAACTCAATTCTAGGTCACAAAAAAATGTCCCTACATCCTACAAAATCCAAAAGCATGTGGGGTTTCCATCCTCAGACCCCGTTATTTGACATCATCAATTCAGCCATTTTCTTGGTGAGGGGGCTCTATAAAAGCTACAAAATCAAGCCAACAAATGAAATCATCAACTTGCCGTTGCTGATAATTTGCTTTTTAGCTTGATCATGCAAAGGCCAAAAACAGAAATGAGCAGAAACAGTAAATATCAATCTACAGCAACATAGATTCGGGATTCTCAATGTAGCCTTTAAATGCTTTAAGCCATTCTGCACCAATTGCACCTAAAATAAATCAAATAAAAAGAAATAATTTCATTAATTCTAGCCCCAAGTACGTAAAACAGATGGAGAAACGAAGTTAGCTATAAAAGAATCCAATTTGAACAACTTACCATCAATAACCCGGTGATCACAACTCAATGTCGCAGACATCAAAGAGGCAAACTTATACTGGTCAGCACCAGAACCAGGTACAACCCTTCTCTCAGCTGCTTAAACAAGAGGGATGATAAGCAGCAGAAAATCACAAATTTTTAGGTGTAAGGTGAAGTGAGATAGTATCTTACCAGATCCGATTGCCAGAATGGCCGCCTGAGGAGGATTAACAATTGCACAAAATTGTTTAACACCAAATGGCCCTCCTAAATTTGACACTGTGAATGTGCCTCCCTGCAATCACAACAATCAAGTGGTAAAACAAGCTTAAATTTACTGGTTGCCTATTCAGACATACTCTGTTCAGTACAGTAATGATAGTTCCACCTCATAATCAGATGGCTTTAAGCTATTTTCTTTTGCTTTTTGTGCTAAATACTTCACTTCTTCTGCAATAGTGGACAAACCCTTCTTATCAGCATCCTGCAAAACCCATGACATTTTTATTTTAGTTATCATTGAAATAATAATTTGGAAAGCATGCAAATGTTAGCAGAGCATAAAAGCTGGTTCAATCACAAACCCTGACAACAGGTACATAGAGGCCGTTGTCCGTCTGCACAGCAACGTTGATGTTTACATTGTGATACCTGTATAAGTCCAAGGACCAGATTCAAATGTGACCTACATTAACTACATAATCATCTGAGTTTACAAATTTCATGTCAACTCACTGGCGGATGTAATCATTGGTCCATGAACTGTTGCATTGAGGAACTTTTCGTAGAGCCAAAGCAGCAGCCTGAAATAGAAGTTATTCATCACAGATTTTACTCTGAGAATGAAAAGTAATCAATAATATTATTATTAACTTCTTTTATGCTGAGGTTGTATGATACCTTGATTACGAGATCATTAACAGATATCTTTTTCCCACCAGAAGCTTCTTGTAATGAATTAAGCTTTGATCGCAATCTGAAAATAAAACAGGAACCACCAAATCAAGATACACAAAAAAAACAAGTTGCTTGGTAAATGTTGAGAGGGGTATAATTAGCACTCACTCCATTAGTTTGTCAACGCATGTATCTACAGTCAAATAATAATGGGGGATTGTTTGCTTCGATAGCAACAAGCGAGAAGCTGTCACCTGATGAAATTGATAGAAGGATTGTGAAAAGGAATGTAATATTGCAGGAAACAATGAAATAAGAAATAAAGTTGACACTTCAAGGTAAATCTTTCTTTGAAGCTAAAGCTTAGAGGTGTTTATGATTATACTATGCAGTAAATATTACCTTTCTTATCTGTGAATGAGGAATATCAGTGTAATCCAAACCTGCCTCAGCCTTGGGCACTGCTGATGGAACTTCCTTCCCTCGAGAAGCTACACAATAGCAAGAGTAAACAAAATGATTACTCATTAGTTTTATGTTCAGCAGAAGAACTTGCAACCAAACAACAACTATAATAATAAATTGACACATTCCGCATCAAGTGAAAGATAATGCAAAAACATGTTACAGCATAAAAATATATATGAAACACTCGTAGAGATAATAATAAAAACTCAAAAAACCTACCGAGGTAATCTTCAATATCAGCCTTGACAATGAGTCCCTCAGCACCTGTTCCTTTGATATTTGAAAGAGGTACCTATACCAATGCTTACACAAAATTAATGCAATAATACTAGAATATCTGTAGAACTGCAATATCAGAAAAATATCTGAAAAATAGATGGTAATAAAAATCGTACATTGTGATCTTCAGCTAGTTTTCTAGCAAGAGGACTAGCAAAGGTGCGGTCTGCTGGAGGTGAACTTTGTTTAGAAACTTTTGGTTCTGATGGGATGGGTTCCTTGGCAACTTCTTTGGGTGGAGGTGGAGGTGGAGGTG